TTCTGCGGAAACACAAGGATAAGCTAATGCATGGGGTCTTCTTCAATAACATTGGAGACCTTGGCTTATCAAAACGCCTGACGTTCGCTTTTCTCAGGTCGAGTGGGCTGAAGTCGGAAACTGAGGGTTTCATCATGGCTAGCCAGGATGGTGTCTTCAACACCTTAGTCTACCGCAGTCGCGTGATGGGTATAGAGGTTCCTGACACAAGATGCAGGGCCTGCCGCGAAACGCCCGAGACCCTAATGCACTTGCTATCAGCATGTCCAGCATATGCGGTCTCGGCCTATATCCATCGACATAACGCGGCCCTAAGAGTGCTATATTACCATCTACAGTACTCTTACGGTATTGACGAGACACCGGTGTTGCCCTACGCTACAGGGAATATTGAATCCGTTGTGGGGAACGAGAACTGCCGAATTTATTGGAACTATTCGTTCCTCACCCTCAGGTTCATACAAGCTAATAAGCCTGATGTGGTCCTTCTCGACCACCAGAGCAAAACGATATTTGTCGTGGAGTTTTCAGCTCCTGGCAAGACGAATATCGTCAGAAAAGAGGAGGAAAAACGGATAAAATATCGAGATTTTATCTTCGAACTCTGCAGTTTCTATCCAGATCACTCTGTCAAGATGGTTGTTCTGATTATTGGAGTCCTTGGTGGAATGATGTCCTGCACTAACGCAGAAATCTTAGCCGCACAGATGCAGAAGGCTGTCATTCTTGGCTCACTGCGCTTGCTCAGGGCACATGATTCTCGGACCCAATGATCACTTACCCCACGGTGTGGGGAGTGGTCATTGGTTGATAATGCTGGCGTGCCCTCCCCTTTATAGTGAAAATCATACAATAAACTGTATTAACTAGTTTTTTTATGATATATGTGTTACAAAATAAATATGATCATTGTTGTGAAATGACGGAATGGAACAAAAAATACAATCAATGTAAAATTGAATGGAAAAAAGAAAAAAAGTTGTTATCAATTATATCTGGAGCTGTTCGGATGAATTTACTCTTATGAGTACATGGGACAGCCTGAAACAATTTTTTTCAATGTATAATAGAACATAAAAGTAACTTTCACAACGAGAAACCCAAAAATCAATACAAACCAGAACATAAAAGTAACTTTCACAACGAAAAACCTAAAAATCAATACAAACCAGAGTGTTTACTAGATATCAGTTGAAAAGAAATCAAAAAAGTACCACAGTACAAATTTTCAATGATTTATTAAGAATATTAGAACATCGTGTAGTTTATGAAACATAAAAATGTTTATCCATAATCTATGTATCTTCAATGATTCATATTTAAAAATACCTTCTCCATCTGGATGCCTTTATCTTATCGACTCATACGTGAGATTTTTTATTGCTTTGGGTGAAGTTGATTGCATTTTCGAAGTTACAAGTACATTGGGTTTTGTTAAATTTTTTTTTAGTACACAAACCGATCAATTAATTCATTTGGTGAATCATCTTCCAGGTCAGACGTTATCTTCCAACTATCTCCCTATAGGTATAGTCTATCCATTCCCAATTGGAATGGCAATAAAAATAAGAATACACTCATAAACATTTTTTGCCTATGGCCCCTAGTCGCCCAGATAGTTAGTAAACGTGCTATCAAATGTAGTTGAGGAATAAAGGCTCGGCTAGCTGGACTGGCTGAATACTAATTTTTTGTCCGTTCCACAATATTTCTTTATCAGTGCCGTGTGTTTGTGGGGTTAGGTGAGGTAGTGAGTGGTTTTGCAAACCGATTTTTGAAAACTTACATGTTCAAGTTCAGCGAGTAATTTTAAATATTCATGAATGCTTGAAGAAGGAAAACTGTCACCCTTCACAGAATGCTATTGTGGATAGAATATGCCAGTTAACGAAACTATCTCGTTCGACAGTTCTTCGAGTCATTAAAATAGGGGATGTCATTGACCCTGCAATGAAACGAAAACCAAGGAATTAAAAATTCGCAAACGTTGATGGTGCTACAAAAGATGTGATTCGGCGAACAATTTATGCTATATACCAAAAAAATTAAGTACCAACCTTGGAAATGATTTGGTATAAATTACTCAACTATCTCGATTACAAATACAAGTCCTTAGAAACTCTACGAGGCGTCTTATTGTCTTGTGGTTTCAAATATAAAGCATTGAACAATCGGATGGTCATAATGGAATCGACACGCATTGTTCAACTCCGACAAGAATATTTGAGGCGAATGAAAAGCTACCGAGAATCCAGCAGAGATATAATCTACCTCGACGAAACTTGGTTTGACACCCATGATGTCAAATATGGCTGGGTAGACGAAACCAAGTATTGTGCTTTGAACACACCTTCTCCAAGGGGAAAACGTGTTATAATTTTGAAAGTGGTTTCGTATCTAATGCGTTGCTTCTGTCGGCCAAAAATATAAGAGATTCGTCTGCTGATTACCACGAAGATATAACTGCGGCTTTATTCGAAACCTGTTTCAGTGAGCAGCTTCTCCCAAAAATTCCTCCAAACTCGGTTATTGTTATGGAAAACGCTTCGTATCATTCTCGGTTGTTGACTACAATACCAAAGAATAACACAAAAAAGCAGATATTTTTATTTTCATGCGAAATCATGACATGGAAATACTCGAAAAGATTCCAACGGAAAAGGTATTACTGGCGACCATAAAACAACTTTATTTCAAATATATTATTGATTCGATGTGTGAAACACGTGGTCATATTCTCTTACGTTTGCCTCCATACTATTGTGTGTTCAATCCAATTGAAATGGTTTGGGCCACAATGAAAGAAAGCTTGCGGGAATGTAATCAGTCACCGACTTTGAATGCTGTGGTGCTTGACAATATAAGGCGAGTGGTGACTGAAGTAGGTAATAGTGATGTGTGGAAGAACTGTGTGGCCATGGTTATAAAAGAAGAGAACAAATATCATGTGCAAAGTTCCATAAATCCGATTGTTATTCAACCCGATGATGATTCCACCTCATCCGAATATAGCGAAGAATATTTTTGATTTTTCTAGCAATTTTGTTGGCCTCTATCATTTTGTAAATATATTTTTGACGAGAATTCGGTGTGATTATTTGTGTTTTCATTGTATTTTAGAGTTTTCGACTCGGAAATTAACTACCTTAAATTTCGAAGTTTTTCATAATTATCCATGGTGGAAAAATTCAGTTGAGATAACTTTTTCATGGGATGATCAATTGCTATGATTGTAAGAATAAGTAACTGAAAAACTACCACTGAAAAATAATATGCCGACGCCTATGTCGAGGCGGGAATTCCTTCTCTATGCTGTTCCAATTGGTATTGGAAATACTATACAATGTTACCAATAATTACAAATATGATATGAATAAATTGCAGCCATGCCGAGCTTTGACTTGAGCTCGGTTCGGATCGATTTTAAAAACCTGGGCTCGACTCGAGCTGAGCTTTTATTGGTTGTTTTATCCGTTTTCATGAGTCTACTTTGAACTGTAATGTCTCAGTACACAGTAATTCAATTCAATCGAAGCGGCATCAGTTTTATTGAAGTGCTTGAAAAGCTGGTAGTCAGTTGGCCGAGTAAAAAAATGTTTCTCTATAGACCCAGACTAACAACTATGTTTTTGAAGCAATTCATTAGTGCAGTATGGAACATCCAAAATAATTCAAATATAAACACAAATTTCCAAGATAACTTCAACTCATGAGGTGACTCTAATTTTATGCCCGACAGATTATCTGCGACTGCATTATATTGTCAAAATTTGGCAAATTCAACAACAATAAACAATCGTCTTAAATTTTTCCAACGGGAATCTTTTTTGAAGGTTTTCAATAAAAGCTCCAAGAAGGAAACAAAAATCGAGGTTTTTTGTTTAAAAATCACCAGTATTTTTTTACTAAATTGTTTATTACTTATGCAGTTTTTTATTTTGTCCAAATTTGGCAAATCCAACAACAATAAACAATCGTCTTAATATAAACAACTTCTCCGATCCTTTTTACGTTTTTGAACTGTTGATTCGAAATCGTCTCGGTTTATTTTTACTTTGTAAACAGCGAACGTCGTTTGTTTAGGCACAATATTGACTGATTGCCAAAAATATGTTTTTTAAAATATTTTTCGTCGGATTCCGTTGGCAGCACTTTCTACTCTACTCGCTACTCGTTTTCGATATTTTTCTGTACCCTTTCGGCGGTGTTATCGTCAAATCACTGTGTTTATTGCGTTTCCGAGTTCAACTAAAGATGGTAGTGTCGAAGAAAACAAGTGAGGGATCGAATGTATTCATGTCTAAATATGGATGACGCTCGGTGAGTTGACAATTATTTTTTGAATAGCCCACCGTTTATTATCGATTTATAATTAGTTGTTCACGTGAATGAGGACAGGGCAATGAACTTTCTCTGGACCATTTTTAATATAGACGATTTTTTTATAGTAGGTACAGGAAATGAGTCTAGAACATTACAGAAATATTCGTTTCACTAGATGGGGCTGTAATAGATATGGTTGTAATGATTTCAGAGTTATATATAACAGCTACAGCACAAACAACACACTTGATATCTTTCACTGCTATCTATCCAACAGATTCGTACAGTTCAACAACGTATCTTCGTTCGAATTCACCGCTACTTCGGGAGTTCCGCAGGGCTCGATTTTGGGACCTTTTCGTGTTATTTGTTAATGACGTTTCTCGGTATATCAGGCATTCTCAATTTCCCCTATATGCCGATGATCTCAAGCTTCTTAGAAGAATCGAGAGCGAAAAAGAATCTGATATGCTTCAGGATGATCTCAATAATCTATCTACTTACTTTTCAGTATCTGGCCTATCTCTCAACGAAGCTGAATGCAACTTCTACAAATATTTAAATGAAAATATAAATTTTTCACAAATGGTTAATCCTAATAAAAAACATTAACAAAAAAATATATAGTTATTTGAGAAAACTGAATATGTTTTTAATTGTAATGGTATACATATTTATTATTAAAGTTATGATTGAAAGACATACCTCTGTTATATATGATTCTTAATTTATTCCATCAATTGCTTCCTTGATTGAATATTTTTCTTTTGCCAATTGGGAGAGTCATTTCTTTCATTTCTTCATCAGTGAGCCTTTTAGCTATGTCTAAGGTTACATCATTTTCTGTCTGACAAGTATGTGTTTTAAGTATATTATTGGGAGATAAATAATATATGTATTTCTTTACCTTTAAAAATGCCAATTAGGTCATTTAATCCCAAGTTATTAAGAAATTCCTTCATGTCTAAAAATAAAAGAGATTATATTGCATGTTTTGAGTTCGTGCAGTTTTGTTGGATGTTATCATTTCTGTAAATATGTTACAAATAACTTTCCTTTTTCGGTATTACTGATTTTAATAAAGTGATACAAGAGAAAACTGTGATTATTTCACAATGTTCTTTGAAAGAAAAATCTTAAAAACAGGTTCCTTCAAGGATTCAGTATATACTATCATGATGAAAATGAAATCATTGTTTACGGCACCATTCAATTATTTATGATGTAAGAAATTTACAATTCGAAATAAAGGTACAGCTCTTCGCCGACATTGTATACCTACACCTATTTCTGTGGCAAACACCTCAAATTGTATTTACTCTGAAAATGTCCAATTCCTTTGTATCCAAAGATCAAAGGTCAACTAGGTACCCAGTGTATGCATACCTACCTACCTCTCAATGATAATCATTTCACTCGACAACTTCTACTTTCTTAAAAACAGAATTGAAAACATGGAAGCTTTCTTTCAGTCATTACATGAAACAATAAGAACTTCAAGCCACTTTTATAGATAGCTGTTGAGAAAAATGTATGGGCACGTGCTTGAAAAAAACGATGTCCGTTTATCCAATACATGCTATTCATAATTATTTCAAAATATGGAATGAAAGAAAGTATATTATCAACATACCTGTGAAAACACTGAAAAACTTCAATCCACGTATAATCAAAAAGAAACTGTAAACCTCTTCATTTCCTTGAAAAACACAAAACACATTGTTAATTCTTATTCCATTCGTGATTAGTTTACGGTTCTTGCGAAAATGCAAATGGTGCCGACCGGCACTCTATTCCTTAGAAGTATTTCAACTATATCATTTCTTTAAAGGAAACAATTCAATTTTTCAAACCAACAAATAATAAAAATATTGAAATGAAATTATCCATAATCTTGAAATTATTTCCAAAATTAGTTAAAGGTATTGATATGTATTGTTGAAGTGAAAATAAATATTCAGTTGATTCAATTATATATTAGTGTCAAAACAGCACCCCATAGTGTTAAACTGAATTGGAAAGTTTTCATTCAGCAGACGTATTTTTGATTTGATGAAATTATATTGTTTGACTCAACCGAATTATTTTGAGAACTCAATAAATGTTATTCTTGAAATGATCCACAATTCATTTGACTGAGTAAAAGACCTCTTGAATTGAAATATTAGAGAAATTAAAATGAGAATTTCATTTTGTCTCCACAAAATTATCATCTAATCGATACAATACACACGTCGTTTGGAATGAATGATATTTAATCAAAGTGATGAAATAAATTAGACTAAATAAATTTCTTTGAAGTAACAAACCTTTTTTTTCCGTGTAGTACTAGAGTGCCACCAAGATTTAGCCAAAGCTTCGGTTGATAACATTATCCTGAGGTGGGTTAAAGGGCACGGCAGGAGTAAAGAGTAATCGCTTTGCCGACTCTTTAGCCAAGGAAACGGCTAAACTAAGAATTTCAGGACCTAGTGACACCTACGGCCTGATGACTTCGACAATTGCGGAACTATCCAAACTTCACACCCAGGCTCAATCCCTAAAGAGACGGAATGAAATCAAAGGATGCAGTCTTGCCAGGATCACCTTGGGCGACCCTGGGAAGCTGGCACCGAAGATATATCTGGCGATGACTAGGAAAAATGTACGCTTAACAGTAGGATTTCTGACTGGCCACTGTCAACTAAGGAAACACCTCCACAATATGGGGCTAGTAGACACACCTCTATGCAGGATGTGTGGACAGGAAGATGAGACTGTCAGGCATGTCCTGTGCGAGTGCCCGGAGTTATCGTCAATAAGAGAGTGTGTGTTCGGCAAGTCTTGGCCTACACCTGCCGATATAAAGGAGATGTCTCCCAAACCTGACCACCTTCCTGGAAAGGACAAGATGGACGATGACCTAGGAGGACAACTCCTCGAGACGATGTACAATGGGTAACATGTGGCCTAAGGGCTGTGGGTCTACACTCACCCTCCCTAACCTACAGATACAGACAGATATATGGTGGGTGATGCAAAACTTCGACGCTGATTTCGTTTAATTTTTGGACGGTGATTTGTGAAATGTGCAGACCGGCGTTGTTGTGGAGCAGGATCGGACCTCTTCTGTTGACCAGTGCCGGCTGCTGGTGATGCAATTTTCCGTACATTCCGTCGATTTCCTCACAATGGGACTATGCTGCGATTGTTTGGCCCGGTTGCAGAAAGTTATAGTGAATCACACCAGCCACTGACAACCATACAGTATCCATGGTCTTTTTTTGGTGGGTTTTCGCCTTGGGGAGGTGCCTAGGAGTCCAAACATTGTTCTGAACGTCCCCTGTTATCTTAGAGGTTTCAGTACTCATTACACGTGACGATCCGACACTTCGTTCATTATATTGCATCAACTTTATTTTTTGAATACGGACCATTGGTTCTTCTCTTCATCGATTTTTGTAGCCACTGTATATAAGAAAAGTTAATTCATTTTTCCACTGAAAGGGGGTATCAAATTTGTATGGGATCTATTTTAAATGCCTCGATCGCATATCGAGGTATATTTCAGGTATATTTTCAGTTCATGTAAAAATACTTCAAAAATTTTCTAGTTTTCTTTTTTTGCACCATTGTGTGTAAGAACAATTCGTTCAGGCCAGTCTCAGCTCGTCTACAGTGTAGGTTACTGGACTGACACCTATCAGAAAACAACTACTCTCCTTGCTAATACCACGAAGGGAATTGAATTACATCTGACAGTTGTCAGTGCAGGAGTCTTCACGGAAGTAATTTCTGCATATGCTGTTGGCGATACAACTGCTGGAATCGATTTTCAATTATTGGAACGGACACACTTGCAGATCGGTTTCGTCCTATTTGGCCTCTCGTCAGTGCAAGGTTGTGCCCATCATCAACATGAAGTCGATGATTTTCCATAATTTGAAATCGAATTCCTTTCAGAGTATCATTTCTCGAACTAGGCTGAAGCAAACGACAAACAACACATTTGTCATCGCTCTATATGACCGTGAACGAGGTAACCAACCACATAATTTGATTAACAGCCAGTTTTTAAGTATGCTCCCTTACTATATGTGACTAATATTGGGATACCCGTTGCATGAGCGTGTCCTAACTTACATTTCAAAATGTATCCACTATCAAATTCGTGACACACGTGTCACGATAACTATTTATGTAACTCCTGCCTGAAAAACCACGTTTTTATATTTTCCTGCGAATCTATCCACATAAATACGATGTCGCTGTCTATGTTCATTCTGTCCTTGAATCTGAATACACTAAAACGCAGGAAATCGATGTCATTTTCGAAAAAATACTAGTAGTGCGTAATGTGATATTATTTTTTTGCAAAGCATGCTTGATTACTGTATTCAATAACCGCATTGTCGGCGTAGAACTCTCTCGTCCGCAGCGAAGGTCAAATTTATTCAATTGTTTTCGATATTTGTGAATCAATTGATGAACAAGGCTTGTGCTATATTCGATTCTATTTATTTCGTTTACGTGGTTGTTTTACAGTGTTTCATTCCCAGCGTTCAGCTGTTGCTTCCAGAACGTTTCACATGGGTAGGTGAACTTTTATTGTACGTTTTATTGATCATAAATAGTCGAAACATTGATAAAAGAAGCCATTTTGCTCCTTAATCGATTTGAATGCCGCTACACTGTTGATTTTAATAGGTTTTACTGTCTATTAAAAGGATCCGGAGTCAGCTCAGTGTCAACAAAGCCTTCGGTCATCATATTCGAAAAATGCGCGGGCTTAACTGTGCTGTCATATTAGTGCACCTACTAATATGACAGCACAGGCAGTTATAACTGCCGAATTCGAGCCACATTTTTCGCTGGCCCTCCCTGTATATGTTCCGCAGGAAACTTTTCGTGCACAACAGAGACGTCAACAAGCCAAACTATGCGATGGTCACATTTCTTGCCTGGAAACAAATATTCATGAATTCAAATGAATACAAAGGATCTGAGATAGGTAGAAGGCAGAATGAAACTCATTTTGTAACAAAGGGACAGAACGGAAAGTTTTTTGAATGTATAGTCAATGGCCACCAAAGAAGTATAGGTTATCATGGGTTCCATCATCGATATATCAAGCCCCGAGATCTTCTTGATCAGCATCAGTGGTACCTCTGTTCAGGCCCGACCCTGTGTGATTTACCGCTCGATATTCCTCATGCATTCAAAACGAGCACTTTTGCCAAACACCAGAACAAATTCAGTTGAATTTTGTACGGGTGCAGGCCCAAGTCACGACGCAAAATTCGCCACGTTGTGGTCTGCGAAGAGGTCTTGTGAGCGACGCGAAATCGACTGCTTCGGATTCTCCTGCACACTCTCACAAACAGCGGCGATGTTTATTGACTCTGATTTATCCACCACATTGCGAATAGTCATCCCGATAGGACGATTATGAAGACCGTAAAATAGGCGAAGTGCGCGGTACGTTGCCCAAACAGAACACCCATTTTGATTAAACAATTTTATCATTTGCACGTGTTGTTGAATGCAGTATCCGTTCATGGCGATTTGGCAAAATAGACTGAATAAATAACAAGTAATTTGACAGATGTAGCTTCTACAAGATGCCGTTATCAATGTTCGGAAGTCCCTGTAGAAGACTTTATACAGTGCATTTCTTAAATGCCCCCCCTTTTATTTTTTGAACGGGTCAACTCAAAAAATTGAAATTTGGGATAATGAAATCATGCATGAATACTTTATTTTGAAGTGAAATTGACAGATGAAACTTTCAAGATGGCGACTGGGCGCCATCTGGGAATGGAAAGGGGCGGTCTTGTGACACATCTTTTTGAAGCTCATGACAAATGCTTCATAACCCTAGAATATAATGTCAATATCTTCAACTACTACAAAATGGCAGAACTTTCAATAATTGTCTGAATAAATTGATATTTAACTACATAATATGAGATAATAAGCTTGAGGTCAGTTCAGAAGATGCTCGAAATGGTTGCCTTGAACTTCTTGACAAATGAACAGCCTATACGATATTTCACGCCGAACATTTTCGAACACAGTAACGTCAATATCTCTACAAATATTTTTCAGGTATTCTCTGCCGTATATTCAATATTGAAGCATATTCAGTTTCGTACACCTTTTGCTTCAAATAGCCCAATAAAAAAGTCCAAAGGTGTCAAATCTGGCGAGCGGGTTGGCCATTCTGTAGGACCTCTACGGCCAATCCAACGAGCGGGAAAAGTAGTATCCAAATAGTTTTTTTACTTGTTTGGAGTAATGTGGTGGTGCTCCATCTTGTTGAAATACAATATCCATATCGAATTCATTAGGGTTCGCTTCGACGATTTCAGTGATGAGAACAGCATATTCAAATACAGTTCCCCTGTTGAATTTTGATCAATAAATAGAGGTTCTACAGTATGGTTTCCCAATACTCCTGCCCAAACAATAATTTTTTCTGGATAGTGTGTACCTATGTGTTTCCCGGAAAACGTGAGGGTTGGTGTCACTCCAATAACGGCAGTTTTGTCTGTGAACATTGCCGTTTAAAAAAATGTACATTCGTTACTAAAACAAATATTGTGGAGATAGGTAAGGATGCTTTGCAATGGTTTCCGTCATGATTTCGCAGAATACTGTTCTTCATCTTCAGTTAATTAGTGTACCATTCAAAAGTCTCCACACAGTAGAAGGAGACACCTCACAAACATTCGCGACGGAATAAGTAGACTGTTCAGGATCTACTACCACCTCACCAAATATTTGCACATGCTGTTCTTCCGGATGGACGGATGACCTGGGGGCTTTTTATTATGTAGTTGTGAATTTGGATACAAGTTCCCTCAAATATTTTCTACAGATAGGACTCCGAAAACGTTCATTGAAAATCCTTTCGGTCTCGTGAAAGTTACCGCACCGTAAATAAAAATCGATTCAATTTTTTCTTCCAGTTGACCAGTTTAGAATTGACTATTTTCTTATTTCATATTAAGGTATTGATAATAAGAAAGTAAGTAAAAACCAT